TTTTCATGACAAAAGTACATTGTGCATGGATGGTAACGGTTCTAGAAGATCAATTTAATTTCTATTTTAATGATAGTTTAATGCCTCTTCATAAAATACGGAAACCATTTTTTCCGTACATTGATAAAAATAACGAAGTAAACTTTTGCAGATTTTTCTTTTTTCTTTTTAGCCCTTACCTGGGGTTATTTGACGTTTATTAGAAACAAACAAACAGATAAACCAGAAGACAAACAGACAAAATATATTTAAAGAATAGATGCTATTCTAAACTGTTCAAAATATATTTAAAGAATAGATGCTATTCTAAACTGTTCAAAAATTATCCAATTTAACTGTAATCGTTTTTGTCCCAGATTTGAATGTATTAAATATGTATAAAAGAAAATTGTTCAAATTTCAGGTTCGTCCTAACATTTAAAATAACAAAGGGTGGTTATGTTAATATATTGGAAAGCTAAAAAATTAACGTGTGTTTGTATCATATTTTGTCATGCCTTGATAGAAAAAAAAACTTTAATGTTGATTCTGTTTTTCGGAACTTCCTGTACGCATGCCTTTAACTGCTTTTTTAAGTAATTGTCTAAATTGATGTAAAGACCTTTAAATAAATATGATGGAAACGAGATAAATCAATATGAACATGCTCTATAAACTTTGATTTTCTGATCCCTATACCTTTGGATTCCAACGTCGTAAACCTTTGAAATTTCAAACTATGACTTTTGTTAGATCAAACAAGTTTGAAATATCAAAGGTTTACGACAGTGGGTTCCAAAGATATTGGGATTAGAAAATCAGAGTTTGTGGCAAAGAGTCAATTCCTTTGAACAGTAGCTTACAGGCCGTGAATAGTTTAATAGAAAACATTCAACTTTTTAATTTTCTAAAAAAGTATAATTTTAAATCGCCATTTCCTTTCCCTTTATTCCTATTCTCTGTTTAAATCTGACTGTTTTCTAGGACTCCTCATATAAAGCTTCTGAAAGAATTGAGTGAATCATAATAGCATGTTTTAAAGTGATAAATAAACATTTTTCTATACTTTGTACAAGAAAATGATAATGAATTATAAACACGAAAATCTAAAAACTTTGTAGAAAAAATCACAAAAAGTCTTTTGTCATATTTTTGACCTATTCTATTTTTTTGTATATAAGAGTGAACATATTTTGCGGGTCATGACTGACAGAAGTTCTAATTCAAAGGATCTGAGTTCCTGCCACAAACTCTGATTTTTAATCCCTATATCTTTGCAACCCAATGTTGTAGAGCTTTGATAATTGTCAATCCAAAAATTCTTTTGGATAAAATAAACAAAGTTTAAAATATTATAAAACATCAGGTCACCCAACGTTAGTAAATATAAAGAAAAATATTTAAATAATTTAGATTGTTACTTGACGAAACTATGAATAATTCAACATTTTTACTCTCCCCCTCATATTTGTTTTTACAATATACAGGGAAGGAAGATGTAAAATTAGCATAGTTTTACAGATTACTCAACTATTTTTGTAGTGTTTACGTTATAAATATAATAGTAAGGACTTTTTTAAACAATTTATATCTTTCCTACAACGTTGCACACCACACAGAATCATTTGCCTACGTTTGATGTAGAAAACTAGTTGGGTTAATCGCTACTGGATCGCAGACTAGATCAGTATCCTGGTTCTATGATGAACCCCCATCCTTGGTTCTCTACTCCTTGGACAATATAATGAACCCCCTCCTTAGTTCTCTACTCATTGGATAATATGATGAACCCCCTCCTTAGTTCTCTACTCCTTGGATAATATAATGAACCCCCTCCTTAGTTCTCTACTCCTTGGATAATATAATGAACCCCCTTCTTAGTTCTCTACTCCTTGGATAATATGATGAACCCACTCCTTAGTTCTCTACTCCTTGGATAATTTGATGAACCCCTCCTTAGTTCTCTACTCCTTGGATAATATGATGAACCCCCTCCTTAGTTCTCTACTCCTTGGAAAATATAATGAACCCCCTCCTTAGTTCTCCGCTCCTTGGATAATATGATGAACCCCCTCCTTAGTTCTCTACTCCTTGGATAATATAATGACGACACCGAGAATTAGGTTTTTATTAGATTTATATCTGTCTTCACAATCAGGCTTAATCTGATCAAGTATATTGCTTAACTAGATACAAGGATTATTAAATTAAGTTAATTTATCATCACTTTTTTCATCCAACTCTATCTGATTTAGGAACAGCTACCAACTTACCGTTTGACCCATAAATGTGAAAGGTAGGAAGACGACTGTTAGAATCAAGTTCTGATCAAGGATGTAATGCAAGGAAAGTTATTTCAGAAGTGTATGCATCTTTTGTACTGCAGTGTACTGTCTCTGGGCGGTAATGTAAACACAAGACGGATGTCGAAGCCTGACATGATATCATAGAATCTATCTTTAACATAAAAAAATCAATGAAATATTCTGGTCACAGGAAACTTTTATGTGAATTATCAAAATTATCAAAATTTAATGCTTTTAACCTCCTCGGATACTAAACGAACACTAGTCTTGTTTACAAATTCCGCCCAGAGAGAACTGGTTTCAATATTTACCAGAGTATACGCGACAGCAATTAACTTTCCTTGCATTACAACCTTGGTTCTGATTATAAATAGTCCAATGATCAAGAGACACAGCAATTGTTCATAATAAACAGACACATTTCACTGAATAAGTGATTCAATAACATAAAACACACTTGATTATTATTTTCTTAATGTTGTCTGTCTATTCCACAGTTTTTTGGTTGTCACTGTATATATATATATATATTTCTAAAACATTTTAATTGAAGTCCTAAATTAAGTTGATGGGGGAGGGGTGGTGTTTAGACCCCCCCTCCCATGTTCGAATGTAGCATGTAAATTGTGTGTATAAGTTTACTCTGGAAATTTGAGAGAATTCTCCGGAGAAAAGAAGAAGATAAGAGAACCATCTCCGCTTGGATTCTCCGCATTCAGTCTTGGACCCGGAGAAGAGACGAATCCATCCTCTAGTTTTAAATCTCAGACCCATAGAAGGGATGAATCCATCCGCTTGTATTTAATCTTAGTCCCGGTGAAGAAACGAGTCCTTCCTCTTTTATTCAATTTCAGAATTGAAGAACATTTTTTTTTCATCCTTTAGCATTCCAGAAAGATCCAAACTGGTAGAAAAAGTGGCGTCAATATTCAATTTTATATGTCAACTACACCTTGCAGCCTTTGATTTTATATCATAAACTCACTAATACATTTTTAAAGCCCTAGACAACATAGTTTTAGTAGAAGATAATATTTCCATTCACTAATAGCGCTGATTGAAGGATTCATTTCTCTAATTGGATAATGAGATAGAAAGATAGATGTTACCGTCATAATATTTCTATTGGTTCAGAATAGACAACAAACACATGATTGAACCCTGATTGGATCAGGCACTAATCGACTCGGCATACTAGAGTGTAGACAACTAAAATCTATAAAGTACTTTTTTTAAAGTAATTGGCAAGATTCTATAAATTTTCGAGTCCTATTTTGAAACTGTTGGATCAGTCGTATCCATTCTTTAGTTTTCAACCTTACACCCGGAAAAGACACCTATCGTCTAACATTCAGCGAGATTCAGAAAGCATGGTGGATTAACAACGTTTTTAGCCAAATTTCATAATTAAATGATAAAAAAGAAAACTTTTCTACAAAATATTCATTTTCTTCAATTTGTTTTCCCTCTTAGATTGCAGGAATATGTGAAATACTTCAAAGATAAACTACGATTGAAAATTTTCAATTTTCAAAAAGAACATGATGAATATCTTTTGCAATCTTGAGGAGACAAGGCTCTGAAGGATATAAGTGATTATATCAAGGGGAAAAAGACAACTTTTGATTATAATGCTTTGATCCCTAACAAGCGTTTTTCAAATTACAAGTAAACAACGAAAGTAAGTGTTTTTTTGACAACTTTTCTTAGCTTTTAAAGATTGGTAGAAATCAAAATTAAACTAAAAAGTCGTCTTCATTGTATTGACACATACTACGACGACGACGACTGTACATAAATGGAAAATCACTTCCAAAACGTCAACAGACCTGGTGCTCGTTAAACAACACGATACTATTGAATTGGTCTTATACATGGGTAAAATGTTTGACAATTATACAAAACATTATTTAAATAAATTGAATAAAAAACAATCTTCCTAAACTATGAACCATTCGAAAATAGAGAAAATTCGTGTCAGCTTCTCTGACATTTCTGTCTTTATAGAAAAGTTTTAAAATGGAGGAAGTTTGAGTTTTCATCCTCTCCTCAAACAACGTGTACACGTCTCTTTAACGACGTTGAGATCTCTTTAAGATCTCGTTAAGAATCGGTGAGTTAAAACTATAAATGAACTGCAGGGTGTCCAAATAAACATGGAAAAATAAAAGTATGGCTTGGAGGTTGTCAGAGGACAAAGTGTTTATTAAAAAAGGGTTCCACGGTTTTTTGGAATACCCGGTAAATTCATTGTTTAGTTCCCATGTTTATTAGAAAACACTCGGTATATTCATTGCTCAGTTCCCATGTTTATTAGAAAACACTCGGTATATTCATTGCTCAGTTCCCATGTTTATTGGAACACTCGGTATATTCATTGTTTAGTTCCCATGTTTATTGGAACATTCGGTAGATTTATTGATTTCTAACTTTCTTTGTTGTAAATATTATCTCATCATTTTATCCATAGATTAATAAAAAAGATAGTACACTATATGTCGTCTTTTCAAGAATGACAAGACAGAGAGAGAGCATGTTATAAGCGACATGCCCGTAATTGTTAACGAAAAACCCCTAAATCTGGAAAAGACGACATCTAGTGTTCTATCTGTGTTGTTATTAATCTATGATTTTATCCTTTACAAACTCAACAGCTAGGTTGTCAACTTCTTCACGTTTTCATGTTCAAAGGTAGTTCGCGGTTGAGGCAACATAATTGGATTAGGTTAGTTCTATCAATGGAAACCATTTGAATTTTGGGGATTTTCGAAGGTTTTATTGGCATGATAGAAATGCGAACTTTAGTTTTCAAGAAGTGATTAGCAAAATTCACGATATTTGCCTCAATTAACTGTCATTATGGACTGAGTGCTGCGACAACCGGCCAATGAGACAATTTCTATTCACAAATGAATTGTTTTTATTTTAGAACTGATTGCGCTGCTGAGAAGAAATTAAACCCCGGGATGTTTCTTATTTCGGGATTGGTCACTCTCAGGGAAATAAATGAAGACGATATTTATATAAGCTGAATACTGGACAAAACCCATACATCAAGGAAACTACCCCCCCCCCCCCATTTTTTGGTGGATGGTGGGGACCGGGGAACAAAATATAAAATAAATATAGTTTTACTCCAAATAAACATTGAAAATTAAATAATATTATTTCTTAAAACTTTACCCCCTTGGAAATAGGGAATATTTCAAATCATACATTTTTATCAAATAGTGTTGACATTTCTAAAAATCTATAAACATTTTCAAAAATCTCAGAAATTATGTTTGAACTTTTGAAGAGGAAGATCTTATCATTTTGACAGTTTTAATTTCAAAGTTAGAACGGGAGAAACAAAAATAACAGCTTAACCTCAAAAAGTTAAATTACACTTTTTGTTAAATAAATGTCCGTTAATTTCCTTTAAAAATGCTGTCAGTCAAAAAAGTTAGAATTCACACGCTTTGTCAACCTTTAACGGGTGAACTATGAAGAAAGTTTTAAAAGAATAAAAACTTTCTTAATTAACGGAATGTTCTGGAATTAGAAGGATGTACAACTCCACTAGACAGAAGGAGAAAGTCATGTATGCGAAATTACCGGTATGAACTTGTGACCTCGTATGCAGCTTATCTAGTTTTAGCTTTAAGCTTAAATATGAGAAAAACGAATTTATTGGTTTTACATTCAAAATTCAAATCATTTTGTTTGTTCTGAGCAGCTCCAGAGAAGCAAGAGTTATGATTTTAATCTTTGAGCTGAAAGTGCAGTATTGTAGAGAAAACGTTAGGGTTCATTTGATACTAATATGAGACATCTTTACGGTGAACAGTCATAACCAGAAAACTCCGAAATAGGAAGACGACTTTATAGCAATACTTAAGTGTAATTGATGTTGTTCATTCATTCATATATTTATTCAACTACAAAGCATGAGATATTACAAATAAACAATCACAATTTACTATGCAGTTTGGACCCGCCTAACCAGGGTTGGTTGTTTTGAGTGGTTGGCCCGAAGTTAATAATAAGTTAATGAATATAATTGGTTACACATATCAAGATATGTTTTTGGATAGGTACGGAGTTGATTGGAAGGAAGGAGATTGTCAGGTGATCTGTGGCAGGGTGAGCTCAGAGGGATTATTATGTAGAGATAAATTAAATACAGGGTGTATTTAATGTTGTTATAAAGCTAATAATTTTACCAGACACATGACACATTAAATCAAAAATCAAGTGAAATGGGTCTATTTACGCTGAATAATTTCTGTTTCCCGTGCTCATTGGACTTTCTGAAGTCGTCTTCCTATTCCAGAGTTTTCTGGTTATCACTCAACAATTTTAAAGAAGAGTGTAAGGTCGTTTGTAATATTTCACCAGTTGTTTCAGTCAGCAGAAGACACGTTTTTACAATAATTTAATAACCCAGACAAAAAATGAAGAAAAAATATTAGACTAATTTATTGTTTAGGAACTAAATATCAAAAGAAATTTTCGAAAAAGTCATAAGCAGTAGAACTGTAGAATCGATTATTTAATTATCACCATTACCTTTGTTGTTTTTATAATTCTATTCGCAGATTTCTTCAAAATAAAGAAAGCCTCCAACAAGCGACACTAGCTGAAAGAATTTGCATAAACCTTCGAGATTTCAAAATGAATTTTGATAACTTATTTTCAATATATCAGTTCATTATTTTTCTCAACATGTTTGTATGATATGCAAAATGTTTTGTCCAAGTTATTTAAGAATTGTAAAAGATCCATGTACAAAANAGTGGATACAAAACCTCTATTAAATGGAGTAGATACAAAACTTCTATTAAATGGAGTGGATACAAAACGCCCAAAAACAAAACGTCAAATAATAAAACATCCAAACATAACACCCAAAAACAAAACACCCAAGATTTCAAAATGTCCAAAGTTACAAAATATCCAAAGCAACAAAAAGGCCAAATAACATAATGTCCACAGTTACAAAATGTCCCATATTACAAAATGCTCAAAGTTACTAAATGTAAAAAGTTCAGCTGTTACATTAGTTAGTTAGTTAGCTGCAACGTAAGATAAAATAACAAAAGATAATATTACATATGGTATAAGTAACATAAGATAAAGTACAAAATATATACGTTACAAAAGATATAAGTTACAAAAGATATAAGTTACAAAAGTTATAAGTTACACAATTATAGAATGGCAAATGTTACAAGATATATAAAATATTTTTTAACTGCGACTAGGACATGATAAGGGGGCCGAGCGCTGCAGCTAGTGGTTCAAATGATACGTAAAATAATACGTCTTTAATGACGACCTTACCAGGGGCGTAGTCCGGAATTTGTCCATGGGGGCCTTACATTTTCTTCTTTCCAGGGGGGGGGGGGCTCAGCACCCCTTGGGATCAGTTTGATAAATCGAAATAAAACATACTTTTACGAAAGTCTTGACAGCGCTAATCTTCATTGCCTGAAATCTATATACATAGCAGAAACGTTTAATTCGACGCGATTAAGTGCTTAATCTGTCAAAAAATCGAAAATCGAAAATATCTACTGTATATATAAAAGGATTAAAAAATAGAAAATATCTACTAAAAGGATTAAAATATAGAAAATATCTACTATAAATAAAAGGATTAAAATATCGAAAATATCTTCTATATATAAAAGGATAATATCGAAAATATCTACTATAGATAAAAGGATTAAAATATCGAAAATATCTACTATATATATAAAAGTATTAAAAATAGAAAATATCTACTAAAAGGATTAAAATATAGAAAATATCTACTATAAATAAAAGGATTAAAATATCGAAAATATCTTCTATATATAAAAGGATAATATCGAAAATATCTACTATAGATAAAAGGATTAAAATATCGAAAATATCTTCTATATATAAAAGGATTAAAATATCGAAAATATCTACTATATATAAAAGGATTAAAATATCGAAAATATCTACTATATATAAAAGGATTAAAATATCGAAAATATCTACTATATATAAAAGGATTAAAATATCGAAAATATCTACTATATATAAAAGGATTAAAATATCGAAAATATCTACTATATATAAAAGGATTAAAATATCGAAAATATCTACTATATATAAAAAAGGATTAAAAATAGAAAATATCTACTAAAAGGATTAAAATATAGAAAATATCTACTATATATAAAAGGATTAAAATATAGAAAATATCTACTATATATAAAAGGATTAAAATATAGAAAACATCTACTATATATAAAAGGATTAACAATTTCCATTTATTATATCATTGCAATGCATTAAATTAACCTTTAAATTTATTAAAACAATTTCACACTTTAAAATTAGACTTTGATGATAAAATAATAAAAACATATGAAATGAAATTAAGATTCATCCCAAAGCTTTCATCAAAATTCTTTTTGATGTTTTTGATGTTATTCTGCATTATCATAGAAAGGAGTTTTCACGAAAATAATAGAATTTGATATAATTAATCGACCGTGAATAGTCTATTTGATGTTTCGTCTTTCCAACATGTCTCCCCTCCCCCCATCTACCTTTCTTTCAGACCAAATTATCTGTCATACTTCATAGATGTATAAAGAATCTAATAATTCAAAATACCATAGATTATGATTCCTCATGGACTCCTTTTTACATTCATGGACGTGAAAAAAAATATTTTTTTATTTCATTTGTTTCTTTAAAGTTTGCTGGTAGCTGTGAACCAGGTAAGAATGTTCTTTTTCAATTTTGTTTTGGTGAACGAACTTCTTAAAATATCCATTTACTTTAAGAGTGCTATCAACGATTCACATACTTTTTTGGGGTTGTTTTACTATAGAAATTCACGATTTGCTTTCTGGAAAAATTACGTTCAAGTAAAGATTTAAAGGGCACAAAATTCTCTGAACGGAAATTAATGAAAGATAGGTTACGTTTGAATTTCCTTTAAGTAAAAATTAAAGTAAGATCAAATAAAACAATCAGTGTAAAAAATCTCGACTTAAAAAACGATAAGAGAATAAGGTAAAATAGAAGATTGAGAATAGAGAAGTATTTTAAGATACTTAAGAACTCATGATTTTTAATTTGGTTTGGTTTGGCCGACATTTGGAGAAATACTATTTTATCAAAAAAATATCTGAAAACTTATAGTTTAGTTTCCTCTAGTTCAGATCAGAGGGTATATTTTTGGCACATCAAACTCAAGGAAAGTTATTTCAGAGGTGTACACATTTTTTGTACTGCAGTGTACTGTCTTTGGGCGGTAAAGCAAACACAAGACGGATGTCGAAGCCTGACATAGAATCCATTTTCACAAAAAAAAATCTATGAAATATTCTGGTCATAGGAAACTTTTATGTGAATTATCAAAATTCAATGCTTTTATTTCCTCCTCGGATCTAGAGGAACACTGATGCACCTATTCTTGTTTACAAATTCCGCCCAGAGAGAACTGGTTTCAATATGTACGCAGAGTATACATAACCGCAATTAACTTTCCTTGCATTAGTACCTTAATCAAACTTGTGTCATACAAGAAACTACGGAGAATAATAAAAACTAGAAAGACGACATTAACATTATAATGCTTTCTGTAATCTAATGCTCACTTGTTAACCAAAAATATTGTTTTTTATTTAGATTAGTTGCAGTCCCGCTCCTTCTACCATTTCTAATGGACAAAGGTAGTACATGACTGAATTAACTATGAAGTCTTTAGACGGGTCTTTACTCTTTAGAGTATACTTCAGAGGGGACTTTAGGTGTCTTTGAGTACACTTGAGGCTGAGAGGGGTCTTAGAGAACACTTTAGAGGGGTCTTTAGAGTACACCATAGAGAGTGCAATTGATAGGGTCTTTAGATTATACTTTAAAGGGTTTTTTACTCTTAAAAGTGTAAAATATACAAATTACATCAATACATAATTTAGGGGGTGGGGGGGGGGGCAGTGTTTGAATAAAATATTAGACAGATTGGTAAAAGAAAGATTAAATTGAAAATCCTAACCGGCTTAAAAAAATTCTACAAAATACTAGAATCGGTTTTGGAATAAAACCTTTAATTTTTCCCGCGACCCCTCTCTTGAAAATCTAATTATCTGCCTGGTGTAGGGAGCTGGTGGAGCAACTGGGAAACCAGAAACCTGATATACTCAGCCTGGAAACCCAGGAAACCTAAACATTAATCAAACCTTTGCTGCAAACTCAAATTTCTAATTCCTATGTTTTTCCTACCTATATTGAGTAAACCTTTGATATTTCAATCTTAGACTATTTCATCTAACAGAATTTGTTGTTTGAAATATCAAAGGTCTAATCACATTGGCCTGCAACGATAAAAGGATAAGAAAATCAGAGTTTGTGGCAAAAACTCAGTTTTTTTGTTCAAAAACAGTTAGATTGTAATTTTATTACCTCTCATTGGCTAATAGATGAATTATTTAGTATTGCCTTTGATCGGGTAGACCATGATTTTCCAAAGGAATTTATTTTCTCTGTAGGACTTCTTGTATGTATAATGGCGCGTATGTGAGCAATTCGTCTTTGGAAAATGTTTGGTCTATTTCCTCCTTCATATATAAGTTACTAGCTAAACATCCCGGCGTTGCCCGCGAAAAAAAAATTGAAAAAAAATTTTGAAAGAATTTTTTTTTTTGAAAAACAGATTTTCGAATTTTTTTAGTCTATAACACCCCCCGGCCACCCATGAGTGTCCACAAAAAAAAATTCAGCCCAATCGGTCTAGGCGTTTGGCCGGTTATATGCAACTTATATATATATACGAATGTCTTGCTTTATTATTTAGATAGTACAAGAGATAACCTTTTCTTAGCTAACTAGTGAACCGAGCAAACGAGCAAAATTGGTGAAATTATGGGAGACAAAATGTAGATATATTTAGCTACATGTCGATAGATTTTTAGTGGAAAAAAGGAAATTATAAATCTATTAAAGCTAAACAAAAATTCAATGGGTTTAGATATATTGGACCCAAGAGAGCTCAAAATAGTTTTGATATTCTCTAAAGAACTAAAAACTAGAACGAAATAAGGAGATATTGGTTTCAATTCAACATTAAAATTACCTAACCCTTTGCACACGATGTCGTAGACCTTTGATATTTCAAACTATAAATTCTGTTAGATCAAATATTTACAGTTTGTAATTTAAAATTTACACCATTGGGTTGCAAAGATATAGTGAAATAAATAGAGTGATACCGTTCAGATCCTTTAAGAAAAAAATAGTTTAAAGTAAAAGTAAAAATCTTTTTGTAATTCTTTCGCAAGCCCTGAATGTAAACTTTAAATCAAACTGTTTTATAAAAGATGCGAAAAGATTTGAAATAATCAAATAGAATTAGATGAAAAAGATAAAACTTTGAGAATATTAAAAGCATAGCATAGATTAATTAACAATAATAGATAGAACACTAGATGTCGTCTTTTCAAGATTTAGGGGTTTTTCATTCACAGTAACCCTGAGGCAGAAGCCCAAAGGAATTACGCGCATGCTCCAGAGAGAGAGCCTACATCTACGCCGCATGCGCTTAACTCCTTTGGGCTTTTGCCTCAGAGTTGTTGTTAATTAAAACCCCTAAATCTTGGAAAGACGACATTTAGTGTCCTATCTGTTATTGTTACGCCCTCGGGTTTCATACGTACCTCTGACCCTTTAGTAAAAGTAAATTCAACCTAAAGTCTTACCGCGTCATCCTTGTTGCACCGCCTAGTCCTATTGAGTGCCTGCTTTATTTACCCAATGTCCAGGCGATACAGTACAAACTGGGACCGGAAAGGTTGAACCGGCTCGGAAATTCAAATCTACTACGGCTGCCCTTTTAAATTGGTTGTAATTTCTCTGAGAGTAAATGATACATTCTTTTTAGAGCTAACATTTTATCTCCGTAAATCGTATTTTGCAGATTTTTCAATTTTCTTGATTTCAATAGTATTTTACGCCCAACATTCTTTTCTTTAATTATGCATAAACAACGAGGTTATAGTGTATAGAGTGATGATATACGCTAATCATTTACTATTTTTTTAGGCCATAAACTATACCGAGAGCGTACTGCATATTTGTTTATTATAAGTTGATTCTTGCCTAACCTTTAGTACAGGGTGTCCCACGAAACATGACATTTAATAAATAGTTTTTTTAGTCAAACAAATGTTTTGCTTGATTATATTTATAGTATAGTACAGCTAACTGAGCACACAGGTAGAGAACTATCATCTCCCCTGTGCATAAACCTTTCCAGAACCGGGGTCTCCTGAGCCGACCATAAAAATTCAGCCGTTTTGACGTTTATTGGATACAAACAAACGGACAGAGAAACAAAGTAGTATTAATGATTCCTTAATGTTTATGGTTAACAGGAGGAGTTATCTGGTCTAGGGGGTGGGTTCAGGTAATCATTAAATAATATAAATAATTTACATGTTATTGAATTCAACCAAAAAGAATTCAAAAGATCGTATTGAAAAATAAAATAGTGAATTAAAAAATTCTAATTTAAATAAATTTAAAAAACATCTAAATTCAGTCCAAAAGAGCAAATCAAAAAATAAGATTTTAATTTTTAAACTCCAATTTTAGGGAGAAAAGATTTCGGAATGTGGCTGAGGCGTTTAAAATGAAATGGTTCATGTTCAGACATCTGCTGGTGAGTTGAAACAAAAACCTTTAAGAAGTCAAAAACAAATTATTAATGACACCGAAAGAGAGAAAAATTAAAGTCGTCTTCATCGCGTCTTTTTTACAGAATCGACTCTAGAGTATAATGTTTCATTTCAAGTGTACATTTTCTAAATACAAAGGAATTGAGTCTTTGTGCACAAACTCTGATTTTCGGATTCCCTTGTCTATGCAACCAATGTCGTAGACCTTAGATATTTCAAACTATGAATTCTGTTTGGTCAAATAATCTAAGTGCTAAATATCAAAGGTTTACACTATTTAAGGTTACAAAGATAAAGGGATTAGAAAATTTGAGTTTGTGGCAAAGACTCAATTCCCTTCTGTCTGGTGACATAATTAAAGTCTAAATAGTCATTAATTTCAAGAAAATTAAAAGATTGAAAATTGCATTCCAAAATTTCTGTTAAAGACACAAAGTTAGAGATATTAAAAGTTTACACCCATGATGTTGTAAAGATATACGTCAGAGTTTGAGATAATTATTTAGTTCATTGTATTTACACCCGTCAAAAGTAAATTGCTTTGTAAGAATCTCCAGTCCAGTTAGGTAACCACCAAAAAAGTTCTCGGAAAAAAAGTTTCCTGTAAAAAAGTCCTAAAATTTTGCACTAAAAAGTCCTGTGGAAAAAAGTCCTTTCATTAAAAAGTCTCTGGAAATAAAGTCCTACAAATTCGAGACTTTATTTTTTAGGACTTTTTTCTGGTTCCTGTTCCTGATTTTATACCAAAAAGTCCTCGGAAAAAAGTGAAAATGCATTAAAACACCCATAGCTATATATGTTCAATATGCAGATACATGGAAAAAGTTCTTTTTTGGAAAACAATTTTTAAAAAAAATATATAAAATATATTTGTTACATATATAATTATGTATCCCAAGGGTAGTTAGTTTTTCCTTTTACATTTTATTTAAAAATATGAAACTAGCCTTGTAAATGATGTACATAGTACACTTGTACGCGGAATCACATACACTTAAGGACTTTTTTCGAAGACTTAAATTACTGATTTCAAATTTCCCGAGACTTGGGACTTTTTTCTAGGTTTTTATTTTCCTCGGATTTATTTTCGTCCGGACTTTTCTTCCTGTGATTTTTTCCCCCTGAAACTTAATTGACAGCCCCCATACTATTTTAGTAAAAAAAGTTCCAGAAATCTAAAATACTGGACTTTATTTCCAGTGACATTTTTACCAAGGACTTCAGAAAATTCGGACTTTTTTCCAGAGTTTTTATCTCGAGGATTTTTTCCTGAAACTTTATTTCCCGGGACTTTCTTACATAAATTCGATTTAAAAAGGTGGATTAACTTCCTCGCAGGATGATTTATTTTTCCACACTAAACTAAGCTAGTGGGTTAGGTAAAACAGGCCTATGATAGGCCGGCTACCTTAAAAAATCTGGCCACGCCACTGGACCGACATTGGATAGAGTCGGGCCGCGGTACTTGCCGCGTGTCACTAAGGCCAGTACAAGGGGTCCGGTCTGTCCGGTTCGAATTCAAATTGACCCTAGTCCACTATGATGCAGTACACGATATAGTGTATGAAGTACGTTGCATAACTTTCCTAATAAACGAAGAAAAATACAGATAGTACAGCGTTCTATACTGACCCTGCTGAGCCCAAAACTTAAGACAGGATATCGTCATGAAAACCAGTTTTAAAACCCGGGTTTCACGAATCGGATTTTGAAGTTCTGTGGATATCAATGTTTTTGTTATGAATTGTTATTTTATTTAGTTTCTTCATATTCTCCATTGTTTTCAAATATCTTAAATCAAAATCTACAAAATGTTTTGACTCAAAAAAGGAAACTCAAGAGTTTCGTTCAACGATACTCTTTTAAATTTCAAGTTCTGACTTAGATCTAAATTTTTCCCTCCTTCAATAGGAATACTATGCTATGCAACGTACTTTATGAAGTAATCGTGAACTGCTTAGGGAACTTTCTTGTGGTCCTGCGAGGTCGTTAAACCGCCTTTTTAAATCAAAGATCCTTACAAAGAATTTTACTTTTAACGGGTGGATATACAGTGTTTCATACTTAGATTTACAAAAACGACTAGTTTTACAATTAATGAAATAAAAAAAAATAATAAAAAAAACTTTAGGTTTTAAATAAAATAAAAACACAATTTAAAAAAGGATAACAACCTCGTCACTTTATTCATTGGAAGTTTTAAATAATATTCTAAGAATTTATTAATTCCATGGAGACAAAAATATTGATGTAAATATATTTATTTTTAATTTCATTTTCTGGAACTTTTTAAAAGATGAATAGACCGAATATATATATATATATATATATATATATTCGGTCTATATACATATATATCTACGTATATTGGGATTTCCAGGGTCTCTCCTTTGTGATTTGCAAATTAAAGTTAAACAACATCATTTCTTTTAATGGAAAAATATAAAACTGGGAAAATAAAAATCTTAAAAGGAAAACATACGTACTTTTAAGTGGAGCTTCATCTCTAGAGAGTGGCATGTCGGATTTTCAGTGGTATCCTTCATAGATTTTTCTGATTAAAAGGACTGTAAAGGAAAAATGAAAGGGGTGTAGGATGAAACCTGAGAATCCGAGGCCTTAAACGATACCATATAAGACATCTATCTGATGTTCATGTCACGAGAAATTGATATAAAAACTGTGTCAAAATTATACGAAAATTCATATATATACAATTTTGTATAAAAATAAGGTTTAAACAGATTATATTAAGCAAATATGCAACCAATATAATATAATCGTTTTTAGATTGGTTGCTGAATATGATCTGTTTAAACCTACTACTTCTATACAAAATTGTATATAGATGAATTTTCGTATAATTTTGACACAGTTTTTATATCAATTTCTCTTATAGGTATAGTTTAACGCCTGAGATTCTCAGGTTTCATCCTATACCCCCTTTCATTTTTCCTTTACAGTCCCTTTAAGTATGAATCAGATATTAACGTTTTTCTCTTTGAATAATTATTTTTTAAAATTGTGGTTTCTCTACAAAAGTGACCTTGCTAACCAATCGAGGAATTCTTATGAATTTATCACTTTTCAAATATCGTCTATATTATATTGGTAATCCTATTTACCAATATAATATAGACGATATTATATTGGTAAGCATATTTACCAATATAATATAGACGATATTATGTTGGTAAGCCTATTTACCAATATAATAAAGACGATATTATATTGGTAAGCCTATTTACCAATATAATATAGACGATATTATGTTGGTAAGCCTATTTACCAATATAATAAAGACGATATTGGTAAGCCTATTTACCAATATAATAAAGACGATATTATATTGGTAAGCCTATTTACCAATATAATATAGACGATATTATATTGGTAAGTCTATTTACCAATATAATAAAGACGATATTATAGTACAGCTTTGCTTTCTATCCAGCTTGCATGTAAACAACTGGAAGCTGTGAGTTTGACGGGCAAATAATCTTTGCTGTAAAAATAATATTTCCTGATGACACAAAAGTACACCTGCAGTACACACGTTATCAAAGTGTGTACTGCATATTTTATTCAGTTGTGTCATGTCAATAAATATGCCAAAAAATTTAAACTTATAAATAAACCTATATTTCTTCATATTTATTACACATTTAAAGTTTTCCCATTTTATGTCATAAAACAAAACAAAAAACATTTCCCTTCTTAATTCACAGCTTCCCTTTGTTTACATGCAAGGTGGAAAGTAAGCAAAGCTTCACTAAAATGTCGTCTTTATTATATCGGTATAAAGGCTTACCACTATAAAAAAGCACAAAATCTTGCACATTATTGAACATATATTCATTTCGGTAACCACCAAAAAAGTTCTCTGAAAAAAAGTTTTCGGAAATAAAATTCTAAATGTTGGCGCTAAAAAGTCCCAGGAATCTAAAACGCAGGACTTTATTGATCCAGTGACATTTTGTCCTAGGACTTCAGCAAATTGTGACTATTTTATTTTTTATTTCAAGGTTTTTTCCAGAAATTTTTTTTTCGGTGACTATCTTACATCGGTTTCCTGATTGTTATTGTGAATATAGAGTGTGTCACATGAAATTGCAACGGCAGCTCTATAAAATCATTGTTAGACCAACCAATAAATAAGCTTTTTTTCTAAAATAAGGTTTAAAAGTTTAAAAGTTTAAAAGTTTAAAAACTGTTGGTGCAGAATTGAATTGGTAAATAGATCTATATCTCTCTCTCTTGACAAAGCTTTGCACTTTCAAATTCAGGAGAAGAAATAAATCTTATTCTAAACAAATTGTAATTCATATATTTTTATTTTTAGGATGGAGTCAGAAAAAGAAAAGGTATTTTTCTTTCATTATGACGTTTGTTCTTTAAAAATTTTTTTGAAATTAAAAAATATTTGTAGACTCAGACGTCAGAATTTATGAATTTTGTTGTGTGATTCTCGAGATTAAGCATGTTGGTGGATATACCCTGTAGGGATAACTTCAATTGATCAAGCAATTATCGTCAATTTTATAAGTGCCCACATTGGATATCGAGATCATGAGTTTAAGATTAACAATACTTCACACAAAAATTCCGACCTCAGAGCTAATGTTTTAGGGTGCATACTTTTCTTAAAGATATTTGTAAATGTACGTACATTGTAAGTAAATATTTTTGGTAATAATCTTCGCATTTGGTGCTGACATTTCTACAAGCCTTTCATTGGAAAAAAATTTCCTAGATTTTTTGTTTTGAACAGATTTCCAAAATTAAAGGTCATTATTATAATCACAAAATCTTGACCTTGAGAATCATATTAAGCAAACCTCTTCTATTTATATATAAGTATACTTTGCTTGTCTGTCTGTTTGCTAGTATGTGTGTGTCCAATCAAGGTTGTATAAAAAGGTTGGTTACTCTCGATGCGCTGCAATGTACGGAAAATGTCGTCTCCTAAGATGGTAGATATTTTCCTCATATGTCGTCACTAATTATAGAGGCGAGAGTGACGTCATATGAGGTTTTTATCTATCTATCTTAGGATATGACATTTTGCGTACATTGGAGCGCATCGAGAGTAACCAACCTTATTATACAACCTTGGTCCAATAAACCTAAAAAGCTGAAAATTGAGCTATATTTTTGAGGCAATTCACATGACCCCAGGGAAGGCATGGATGGTCAAAGTTAGATAACTTTGTCAGGAAAGAAAGTCAACATTTATAATTTATCAAACTGCGCTACTGTAAATAGAAATATCCGCTAAAATTTAACAAAATGTGTGCCCTAGAAGCCTTTTCTTTGTATTAATGTTTTATTTATCTTTGAATGTATGTCACTCTTACTTTAAAGGGGGTGTCTGGCTAGACATTGTAGTTGAGCTGAGAATGCAGTATTTTTAGGACATTTCTTAGGATTATTTGAGAACGTTTTACGGTGCATATTTGTTTAGCAAGAGCACAAATACAATCTTTGATATCCTCATAGATTGTCCAATTTGAAGGGATGATATTAAAATTATTCAATGACGACCGCGAAATTTTTTACAGTAAACTTATTAGATATATTAGATAAAAACAGATTGAAAAAATTAAAATGAACTCTTATCATTGGAATAAAAAACCTTATTCAGTTATTGGTTTCTGTAATGTCTCATTTTTCACAAACATTTTCCGTAGATTTCGTAGAATTTTTATTAAAAAGACGACATTTGAAGAAATCTGCGAAAACATTTGAAAACAATAAAAAATTCAATATAATGATAAAGAAGGTATAATTGATTCTAACACTGATTTATGCACAAATTTCTAATAAGAAATATGTTCCTAAACATCAAATTAGGTTACTGTGAAGTTTTTGTTACATTTGTCGTCGTCGTTATTGAATAATAAAAAAAAAATCTCAAGATAATCCAAAATGAACAATTTGTTAGCATTTTTAAGATTGAATTTGCGTTCTTGCTAAACAAATATGCGCCGCAAAAACGTCGCATAAGTCTCAAATGAATTCTAAAAAATTTCTCTACAGTACTGCATTCTCAGCTCAACTACCATGTCTAGCCAGACACTCCCTTTAAAACTAGCTTCCTATCTAAATTGCTTGGTTAGGCTGAATTCCCTATTTGGCTAAAGTGTTTAACTCTTTGTTCCCAAGAGACACAGAGAGCCAAGGGAACAGAAAAAAATCATTAAATAAAATAAATTTCAAGTTTCTCCAGCTTCAAAGGATATTATAAAAAAGACCCAAGGGCCCAAGAGAAGAAGTACAAATCTTTAAAGGCCAATTTTTCCCCATGGTTTTACTTCATACAGTGATAACCAGAAAACTGTAGCATAGGAAGACGTCATTAAATCAATATTGAAGTGCGTTTAATGTTGTTGCAAAGTAAATAGCTTTACTTTAAAGTTGCAAGTAATTAAATTACGTATTAAGTGAAATACACTGTTTACACGACACCAACTGCTCTGCCTCATGTTTATTGAACTATTTAAAGTCATAACTTAAGTCTGAAAGTCGACTTCCTATTTCAGAGTGTTTTTTGGATAGCACTGTAAACATTACGATATTTAGTGTCATATCTGTTAACTTAATTAATCTATGTTTACCCCTTTCTCAAAATTACTTCAAAGCAGAAGACGACATTTAATTATCTTCCAGATTAAAGATTTCAAATATTATTGAGAAAGTGAACACCAACAGAAAGACAAATCTCTAGTGATAGCGCAGTCTTCATAAAGTTTTCGAAAAGTTTTTAATCTAGATTCTATCATTTTTTATGTAATGTGGGAGATTATGTTGCCTGAGCTGAAAATTTTAGAATGGTGGATATTGAGATCAATGCTTGATCCTCTCTTTTTGGCTAATCTCAAGACTAATTTAGTCTTCAGATTAATTTCTAGAGATTAGAGATGCGCTCTTTAACTTATAAAAAAACCGTTTTTTAATTTTCCCGCATTTGTATTGTCATTTCAATTGGACTAATGATCGATTGAACGAACGTAATTAAGTTTTTGATTAATGTTCATCAAGACTAACGTTCAAAAGAACTATTGTTTTCAAATGTGATAAAACATGTTTTTTAATAAGTTCATATTAACATGATTAAATTTATATTTATTTGAATGCTCTAAAAGCCGGCTTGTGAACAGCTGACTTTAGTTCAATCTGATATTAGTCCAATCGATATAGCACCATTTCTGTATTTGTAATCAAACGTATCTTTAATACATGTAGTAGAAAATGTGATATCCAACAAGAGCGGATTAAAAAGAAATTAAAAGTTTCAGCCTGTATTACCCTGGGTCTTGTGTTTCCTAAAAAAAGTTCAGCTAATTCGGTTCAGCCGTTTTGACAGCGCCATAGATAACATATAAATATGAGCAAAGAGTTTTATCAATAGATTATAGAAAGATAAAAGAACTTTTTAGATAAAAAATTATATTTAAATACAATTAAAGAATTTAAATTTTAAATTAACAAATAACAGAACTTTTAAGATAAAAACTAAAGTTTAAATACAGTAAAAAGAACTACAGTTAAACCCTAAATGAGCAATACATCGAAAAAATTTTGCAAATGTCGTCTTGACAATTTTTCATACTATTTTACATAAATCTCAGTATTTGCGAAAATAAATAAATAGCCATGAATATGCGGGAACAGTTTTAAAGAGTTCCTTATAATCATTTAATTAAAAAACTAAATATCTGCAACATTCCATTATTAGAAAGTAAAGAATACGACATTTTATGAATTCTTTCAAAGTATGGTCTATCTAGGATTTAACCATATCACATGCTTAATCGATAAACAATTAAATAATGATGATTTTTTTCAGCTTTATGAGGTAAATTACGATTGAATAAGTGCTTTAAATGGTCTCAAGATTAGGAACATCTTAAAGGGTTAAGATTTACTTTATTGTGTTCCTAATCCCAAAATTTGGAAGATCATGATTATTTTAAATTGGTTGAACAATTCCTTTGATAAATTTTATAAACTTAAAACTCCCTGTGTGCATTCCATTTTTTCTCCGAAAAATGAAATCATTATTTACTGGATGACTATAGATCATTTTTGAGAATGGTTAAGCATAATTATGCTTTTTATCGAGAAATGTTTACAAAAAATTCAAATTTTCAGATTTATTTTCCATGAAAATTGAAGAATAAGGTTCCTGAAATGTCAAGTCCTAATCAAATTCTTTTTATAAGTTTAATTTTAGAATTTGAATGTGAAAATCTTCTTTTTGATTTATTTAAAATTATTAATCGTTGTGATATTATTTATTTAACTCTGAGCAAAATTCAAAACGGTCACAGAACTGTAAAAGATGTTCTTTACTTAATTATATTATTATTTCTATCATTATTATTTTTATTTTCGGAGATCACGTTAAAATAAAGTAAATTATACGTAATATAAAAATCCTAAATGTCTTCAATCATAACTTAAAGAGATATTGAGAAGAACAAAAAACTTTTGAATTTCTAATATGTAACCAGAGCTCAGAACTTTTGAATGGTGGATATCGAGATTATTGCTTGTAAATATCGGGATTAATGCTTGATCCACTTTTTTTCTTAATCTCTAGATTAAATAATGCTTGTTCTCCTCTTGTTGTTAATCTCCAGATTAAATAACCGATCGAGATTAAGGATATCCCATTTTAAAGTTTTCAGAGCTGAAAACTTTAGAATGGTGGATATCGAGATTATTGCTTGATCCTCTCTTTTACTTAATATCAAGACTAACCTAATCTTGTACTTTTATCCTAAAAAGTGTATAAAATTCAACCAATCAGAGTCGCGTATATAAAGCCGATAAATTTGAAATTTTGCGCGCCATTTAAGATTAATATACAGAAATGAGAGGGACTCTTTTTTTTAAAAAAACCGGTTTCTGATTTTTCTCTACTAAATCCAAGAAAGAACGGTTTAAGAAGAAAATCAAAAGTGTGTCCATAGGATACTCAGATTGAGTAATCGGGATTAAGGATATCTCATTCTAAAGTTTTCAGAGCTGAAAACTTTAGAATGGAATGTCCTTCATCCCGATCAGTTAATTAATCTGAGCTGAAAACTTTAGAATATGATATCCTTAATCCCGATCTGTTAATTAATCTGGAGATTAAATTCATGAGGACAATAAACAATATTTAATCTGAGCTGGAAACTTTAGAATGGTGGATATCAGGATTAATGCTTGATCCACTCTTTTTCTTAATCTCCAGATTAAATATTACTTGTTGTCCTCATGAATTTAATCTCCAGATTAATTAACAGATCGGGATTAAGGATATCGCATTCTAAAGTTTTCAGCTTTGGAGATTAATAAAAAGAGTGGATCAAGCATTAATCCCGATATCCACCATTCTAAAGTTTCCAGCTCTGGATATTAATAACAAGAGGAGAACAAGCATTATTTAATCTCGAGATTAAGAAAAAGAGCGGATCAAACATTAATCCCGATATCCAACATACAAAAGTTCCCAGCTCTGCTCGGATAAATTTTCTTCTCTCATTCTTCATAAATCTGACCTTCTCCTTCTGTCCAGTTCGCAGTCAGATAAAACATAACTACAATATTCTTAATTAAAGAGAAGAAGGAGACGACAATAGTCGGTGTATTAGCGTTGTATTATTTAATTTATTTGTTTATTTAGGTGGGATGCGATCCTCTAATCCGTTTAGTTTTTATTTAGGCGGGATGCGATCCTCTAATCCGTTTAGTTTTTATTTAGGTGGGATGCGATCCTCTAATCCGTTTAGTTTTTATTTAGGTGGGATGCGACCATCTAATCCGTTTAGTTTTTATTTAGGTGGGATGCGATCCTCTAATCCGTTTAGTTTTGCTTCGAAAGCAAACCTGGCATATCGTATTATCTAAATTAACAGGTACAGTTTGTGTACATAAACACTGTGTACAAGTTGTGTACATAAACACTGTGTACAAGTTGTGTACATAGACCCATTTGTAAATTTTTGTACGTAGACACATTTCAAAGGTTGTCTGCATATAAACTTTTGTACATAGACACTTTGAACAATCTGTGTAAAAGGATTCAATGTACAAATTGTGTACATGAACAATTTGTACAGTTTTTGTTCTTAGACAATTTGTACAGTTTGTGTTTATAACAATTTTGCACTTTGTGTACAGGTTGTCCCCAAAAAAAGTTTGAAGTAGGGGTATTGGCAGTTAAGGGATTAATTTTTGTTCAATTTGCACAATCAAGGTGTCACTCTGTTATTTCAAGGTGTAATTTTTTGATTTCTCGGCCTTAATTTCTTTAGTACGATATGTATCTAACAATATATGAGATAATTCACTATATAATTTTTTTAAGTCCTGTCAATTGTCAATTGTCATATTTGCAGCAAAGTACTTCTCGCATTCTGCTATCAAATAAATTCTAACAAAATATACCTTTCCTTACTCGATACTAGAAACATAATTTTAAAATTTCTAAACATTCCTGTTAGGTATTGAGTTCCGGAACCAGTGTCTCTCAGTTGTGAACTATACTAGGAGTAAATCCAGGATGTACCCGCAGTTTCAGAAAGTTGAATATTCTAAAGAAAATTCGAATTAAAAAAATATTTCTAATAAAGGAGAGCAGAAAAAAGGAGTCTTTAAATTTTTATCCTTAAAATCGTATTATACTAAACAAAATGTAAAAAGATTAGAAATTAAAAAGTTTCCGTTTTCCAACCTTTTCTTGAGACGCATTCTTCTTCCTTCAAGTACTTTTCACGTATGGAACTGATGTACCCCTCAGAATACTGACAATATTGCTATCTTAACTATATTTTTACATCCATTCCAATCTTGTATCCTAAATAATTTGTATCCTATCCAATATCTTGTAACCTATAAACTTTGTATTCTATCCAATCTTGTATTCAGAAACATTTTATCCTATAATTTTCTGAATCCTGAAGTTTTTTATTTAAAACATTGTGTATGTAAATTTATGTAAATATTATATTATCTAATAAATATATTACTTTTTCCCCCAGTTGTTTTTTAATGAGACATTTAGATAAAAGACAACACAATTATAGGAACCAATTAAACAAATAATCTTTTTCACCTTTTTTAGAATTTGATTTGATGAAATCAACTCAAATATACCTATTTGATGAAATCAACTCAAATATACCTATTTGATGAAATCAACTCAAATATACCTATTTGATGAAATCAACTCAAATATACCTATTTGATGAAATCAACTCAAATATACCTATTTGATGAAATCAACTCAAATATACCTATTTGTCTCAGCCATATATAGATGCAAGGGTTGGCCATAAGAGAATTTATGACTGTACACCATATGTCTAATTTATCTAGGCTTTACACAAAACAAATTTATTCCGGAATACACTATGAACTCGGTTTTCGGTGGTTAAAAACCAACTAAAAACTGGATGAGCGGTCTGTTTAATTTAATTAGGCTTATGTCGAAAAAAAAATACTATTTATTTTTACACAAATTCGCGTGCATAAACGATCCAGACTTCTAAATCTAATAATGATATTATCTATTTTAAAAAATTTACTAAATGAAAAGTACTAATACGAATGCTGAGCTTTTTGCTTAAGTTTTCGATTTTTTCACTATGGTTAATACTAGTTCAATTTTATGTTTCGTTTCAAGTCCAGTTTCGGTTCCAGTCCAATTTCGGTTCAAGTCCAGTTTCGGTGCAATTCCAGTTTCGGTTCAAGTCCAGTTTCGGTTCAAGTCCAGTTTCGGTTTAAGTCCAGTTTTGGTTGCATTTCTTAAAAACAACGTAGGCGAACAACCATTATGCAATTACAATTGTACAGCCATCGAAAAGGAGTTAATTGTATATCACGGAATTTGGTTTATTCTGAGTACAAAATTCTCTTACGGCCTTACCTTACCTTGATTGCACATACATCAACATATTTACAGACACCATTTTGACTTTTTTGGACAACGTGATAAAGAAAGAGCATTTAGCAATTACGCAGTACAGGCAACTAGACACATATATACAAAGCTAAGCAATAGCTTTTAAGCCTTTTCAAGCTCTATTAAACACCTCAAACTACTAACACCAGAAAAATAGAAGAACTGTAGAATAAAGATTTCATTTCCATTAGACTTCTCTTTACAGGTTAGCATGTTCAATTCACCAAGGCACCATTTAACGCTTCATCTGAGAAACAATAAAGAAGATATTGTCAATTTTTAATCTTGAAAATTTATGGATATTGAAAACCAATCGATGAAATCAAAATAAAAAGGAATAGAGTAGATATATCGATAAAAACAAAATTATCAAAATTTTCAATTATCCAATTGCAAATTCCACAAATTGCAAATTTAAGCTTAAAATAACATGATAGCAATTCAATACCAAAATTATGAAAATTTCACAGAAAACTGAGTAATTTTGATAAAAAATTATAAAATTTAACATACAATACAGGGTTAGCCACAAGGGATGAGACGTAAAGAAGACCTGAAACTCTTTAAATATGACGACTTATAAGGTTGAATTAAGTATTCTTCTTTGACTATGGTCATTGTATGGCTTGTTTAATGATTTAAAAAAAGAACAAGACAAGTATGAACTTGCAGGAAACCATGAATTTAAGAAATATTGTTCAGTAAAATTCTTTCTTCAGTCAAATATTTCATTCAGTAGAATAGTTCATTCAGTAAAATCGCTTGTTCAGTAAAAAATCGATCGTATTTTAAAAACTTGTTCGAAAAAAATCGTTTATAAAGTAAAATACTACTGTTTTTAGGTTTGTTCCAAAAAATCGTTCGTTCAGTAAAAATCGATTGTTTTTTCTAAATCTTTTGAGAAATTTGTTAGTTGAGTACAAAAACAATAATTTTTTCAAGTTCGTTCGAACTTTACAAAATCGTTCGTTTCTTTTTTCTTTGTTTTTTTAAAAACGAAATTTTTTAAAATTTCTTTGAACGATCCATTTCATTCAACCATTGTTCGTTTTTTCTGAACTACACCCTTTTCCATAAAAAATTTAGTTCGTTTTCAAAAATTTCGTTCGTTGGTTGATAAAGTGCCAGAGAGTACATGCTGCATACTGCATACTGCAGCTTTACACTTGTACAGAGTATAAATGTACTGTCATAAAAAAGTGAGTGAGTATTCTGTAACTGTATAGTGAAGAATTTCTACATAAAAAGTAAGAAAACATTCTGTTTTAGGTGATTTTGACGCAAAAGAAGTGACAAACTAACGAAAAATATCTATATAATAAAACAAGACATTTGTGTATATATATATTGCGTATAGCCGGCCAAACGGCTGGACCGATTGGGCTGAAATTTTTTGTAGACACTTTTTTTCCACGGGAAACGCCTGGCCCTTCAGCTAGTATCTATTAAAATACTAGTTTATCAATTCTTCTTCGTCCATTGAATTTTAAACTTATGTTTAGTATTTTTTCTTGATTAAACGTTGAAAAGTTGAGCTTAAAAAGAAACATCGCCGAGAGAAATAAATGTAAATTGTACAAATTTATTCTTTTCTGAATAAAATTACGCAATAATAGTGGAAAGAACCTGTCAAATCATTCGTTGGGATGTTTAGAAAGATGAAAATTTCCCTGTATGTTAATTGAAGGACTGCAGTATGGTTTTGGTGAATTATATTGACCTACTAAGCCTAGGGGTGTCAAAAATGATTTTTTTGCAGTTTTTTGAAAACGTCCAATAAACCTAAAAAAGTTTAATTTTGATAAAACTTTTTGTTCTGAATGATTACAAATATCTATCTAAAACTTTCTTAAACCGGCATATTTTTTCTATATTCATTTAGTTAAGAGTTTGAGTTAAAATAAGTATTAATAAATATTGCTTTATATCGATTAGATATCCTTATACATATCGATGTGAAACCTTTCAGAAAGTAGGAAAGATTCTGCAGAAAAAAGTTGCCAAACCAAACAGAATTTTTATTTTGAACAAAAATATTTAGAACTTATATAGAAGCTTTTCTTGGTTGCACTTTACTCTAGTTTTGCATTATCTTCATTTGTGTATAACAGTATAAAAGAGGTTCCGTTGATGGTTTAAAACTTAACAGCTGATGATTCATTGGAGGGAGGAATGGCAGAAACACCAATTTGTTATTCCCAAATTTTTTTATGGAAAGTGATGGAAACAGGGTATACAGAGTGCTTCAGGGTACAGGGTACTTCAATGTACTGCAAAGTACTGGGCTTTACTGGGGGAGGGGATACAGAAACCAAACAGAATTTTTTATTTTTAATAAAAATATATAAGTAGAGCCAGAAGCACTTCTAAGGATGTTTTCTTTATAGTTTTGCACTATTTTCATGGACACAAAAGCTAGTTTAATACTAATCAGCTGAAAAAAAAATCATTTCTGACACCCCTAGGCTTTGTACGCCAATATAATTCACCAAAACCATACTGCAGTCCTTCAATTATCATACAGGGAAATTTTCATCTTTCTGAACATCCCAACGAATGATTTGACAGGTTCTTTCTGCCTAAATGTATCATATGCTGTATTTATGCAGAAGAAAAAGTTACACTTTAAAAGAGTTTCTATATAAGTAGATAGCATCAAATTCGATTGCTTACTAGAAAACATCAAATTTAAAGTGAAGCTACGTGAATAAAATAAAAACAATTATAATGTAAAAGATCGTCAAATCGAGCTGTAATAACTACCTTTAATCACTAAATTATGAAACAGCCCTAAATAGTTGTGCATTTTCTTTAAATCTATAGTTTTCGATAATTTACATGCAAACATACTTTTCTATGAAATCATTCCTAAAATAAAATGTAATGCTCGATTGTGCATTGAAACCCTATATCTGCATCCATCATATTTAAAATCTATCAACTT